GTGATCAAACCAAAAGAAATTTGGAACGACAAGAATTATTATAGCCATCAGCTCCAAGATTAGACTGGTGTGTTCCTTGGCCATGCTCATATTCATCTATATAATAATTTTATTATATCAATTTTGTGAAAGTTCGTCTCTGTGGTCGCCTAAAACTTCTGAACCACTTAACTTTCGAATTTGAAAAATATATAACAGTGGTTCAGAATCATTTAAAGAGTGCACAGTTATAAAGGAGTCGGAAGTCACTGTTGTTTAATTTTCAGTTTTTCTTTAGTTTCATTTACATCTAATATTGGGAAAGTCCGTCTTCTAAGACGCCGTTGTAAAGAAGTGAGGCTTCTGTTCACAATCAGTGCGTACTGGTTCCACAATGACTTGGCGATCGATTCTTTGAGTCCGCTCGTCGAACGGGTACCCAGCTATAGTATTCTTAAACCATAATACGAAACATGGACCATAACATTAACAGGAGGTATCAAAGGAAGCATACAGACACTCGGGAAAAGGTGTTTCCACAAATTTCTCGGTATCATGTATAGAGATCATAACATTATATTAATATAACGAGTGAGGTCATGAGAACCAGAATTAGACAAACCGTCGGGTCGTATTTCCTGACTTCAGTGAAAAGAAGAAATGTTACGCGCACATGACGTAATCATCTGGACTGGCTAAGACTATCCTACAGAGAACCGCACAAGGAGAGATGCGAAGAGGCAGACAGAGGAAATGATGGGAAGACCACATCAATGAGTGAAATAACCGTGACTGGAACACATCTTACTACAGAAAGCTGAGAACCGAGAGGAGAGGAAGAAGCCGGTTGCAGATCATGCAACAATGCTCCCACGGTCAACCAGACAGCGGGAAAAGTGAAATGGAAACATTGATTAAAATTAAAAGAGCAATGCTTCCTTATATCATTATTCCATGTTATTTATTTTGTTTATCGTTTATGTACTGCTGATTGTCCCTTGTCCTTCGGTGTGTCTAAAAGACAATCGACAGCGCTCTGTTAAGTTTTCTCCTCAGTCAAATGCCGTGACCACTCTCTTCCATCGAGACTGGGCCCTTGGGAGAAGAGTGCAAGATCAACATGAGATCACTTGGCTGCAAAACTGTATTACTTTGCTATTTCCGTGTGTTTTTGTTTAACCAAGCACCATGGTAGAGACAGAACTGACTTGTTGATCGACGAAGTTCGTTTGTTCGGGGTTGGGGTTTTTTCGTCTTGATCACACAAAATTGCTTATACTGTTAGTCTCAATAATTCACTCGCAAAATCTTTATTTCTTTTAAGAAGTGAAACTGCTTAACTACGATTAAGTGTAAGGAATAAACAAGTTGAAACTAGAAGCGGGTTGGAGCAGTTTTGTGAGACGTTTAGTTATACGACTATACAGCAGTGAGAAGTTGAACGAGGTAAAACGCTAAAACAACTTTTCGTGCAGGACGGTGAGAGAGAAAGAGAAAGGGTGTGTCGGAATCTAGTCACACTGTTCTCAATCATTCAAAATGTACCAGTTCCCAGCGGGGGGTCGTCATGGTAACTGCCTCTTCCGCCCGCCATGTTCGAGAAGTAGGAGCTCTTCTGTTGAGAGAGAAATTGATCAAATGGTGTGAATCTTTAGGAGTGGCTCGGGAGGTTTTAGCTGCTTTTGTGTGAGCTGTCGTGACAAACGTGAAAAAGTGAGAACGATCAGGGGGGGAAAGAAATAGAGATTTTGGGGTGAAGACTGTCTCTTTGGGAGACAGCTTTTGGTGGTTTATACATACGAACATTGTTACACGCCGTTATGTTTCTTAAAAGCAGTTGATTTATGTAGTCCTCTCTTTTTTTGGTTGACTATCGTTGTTGTCAACAGAATGGGTAGTTCGCGGGTGCTCTAGTGCGGTTTACTTCTTCTTTCATATCAAACATCTATCGTCCTTATCTCCCCTTCTTCTTTTTAATGTTTGTATCTCTCTTGCAACACCTCTAATCTTCTGGCGCACATATGACCTAATGCAGTTACGAGCGCAGTAAAACCTCTACTAAAACTAAAAGATTTAAGAATCGTTGAACAACGTTGACAATTCTCTTAATTTCCCAATGTCTCTGTGCCTCTGTGCGTGTGTGTGTTTGTCTGTGTGTATGCGTGATGTTGTTGTTGGTTGTGGGTTTTTTGTGGTTGGTTGTTTGTTTGTTTTTTTGTGGGGGGGGGGGGACCTCGCACTCATTTAATTTTTATTTCAACATTTAATTTCAACGCTAAAAAACAACAATGTTAACCTCTTTAACACAGACCAAACATGTCTTTGGGATTGTCTACCATAATTTTTGAAAAGCCATAACGAATCCTCTACTGGCAATTGGTGTGAAGAAGTTTCACAATAATAGGGAACCCATAAGAAATTTTCCTCAAGGCTTAATAGAGTCCAATTTAATCTAAGTGGGTAAAATCTCCGTGTTGTGTTGAGCTCCAGTGATGCGATACAACAGGCCGGAAATGAGCGGACACTGCCGAGGGGCACCGAAAGCTAACGAGGCGGAGAGGCAAGGGACAGTGTCCACGTTGGTCCCTGTCCGGACATCATTAGTGACCACTTCTCCAGGGCCGGTCTGAACAGAAAAGGCCGTGAGCTGCTTCATTATTGCGTCGTTTACGTGTCGCTCAAGGCTTATGATGCCGGCTACGCCTACTTATCTCGAAACCTTCACACCACAGGCGGTTTTGATGGACACCGTTTCTCCACGAATGGACCCGAGGCCAAAGATTTCGGAGGAATTTTCGTGTATTGGTCAATGTTGAGACAGACTATGTTGATTCATTATTTTTGTTTGTTATATTTTGTACTTGTTTGCCCAGAGTAGAGGTGGGCAAAATCCGGATAATCTACAAGGATAAACGGATAATTCTCAATGAAACATTATCCGAATTCAGACTCAACTCTCTTTCCTGCCCCGTTTGCCGGAGTGGGTGCACCCATTTGTTGATTTAGTGCTGCTAACCCGTTTGTCGAAGTGGTTCTCACCAATTTGCCGAAGCGATTCATATCATTTTATTTGCCTAAGAGGTGCACTAACATAGTATCCGGATTTTGCTAAAGCGACTCATTGCCCAGCCCTAGCCCACAGACTTGACAGACGTTCCGAAACACACACACACACACACACACACACACACACACACACACACACACACACACACACACACACACACACACACGAGCACACACACATACATATACATGTATATATAATATATACTGTTCTAAGAGGGGAAAAAAATCAAGATATCTGTTTTCTTTACCTGCGGAGTTCAGCTTATGACTAATTTAGTCTACATACACAAATAGAAAAACAAATTTAATCACTGTTGTCAAATTTGCACTTCTCATCAAACTATGAAGGATTAAAGGCTTGTTTTCTATGTTTGAACCCACGACCTCAGTGTTTCAATTTGCCACGTGCCGCACCTATTTTTAATTTGCTTTTACAATAATATATCTTCCCAAGAGACCCACTGAATCGCTTCTCTGCAGATCTACCTGATTTCTTCTCTGAGATGAATTTGCGAATCCCGCTTTCCCCTTATATTTGTTAAATGGGACATGTCGGTTTTCTGTGCATCACAAAATACCCCTGAAATGACATTGCTGATATAAAGGAATCTTTAGATATAAAAGCCACCTTTCTGACAGCATCTCACCTGAATCTTTCTTTTATAGGATCGGATTCTAAAATTTAATATCTGCACCAACTAAAAACAAGCAGAAGAAAAAGAAATTCGCCACCACGCCATATCGTTATATTCAGTAGCGATGTTTGGCGCCTATGTCCCCCATTGGTTTGACCACGTCTTGAGTCATGCCTTTATTTTCAGGAATTCTCGTCTAACTCTTTGTAGGAAACCATTAATACACGAAGCGGGGTGTAGTGTGGCGGATTTTTTTTCCTGCGTCCGCGAGCTAATCTCCCTGTACAAGCAGTCTTTGAGGCTTACCTTTCATATTCTGCCATATAGATAATGCCCTCAGAGTCAGTAAGGTGTGACGGTTCGACCATGAAACGTCGGAACTTAAAGAGTCACGCCAGAACAGAATAAAAAGGAACCAAATAACAACTAAAGAACCTTGGGCTTCTCGCAAGATTAGATAAAGGGGGAGAAAAAGTAGGCTAACATAGGATTGGCTTCAGAAGTCAAAGCATGGTGAATATAAAGCTTCATGCGGACGTTTATAATAGTAGCCCAACTGGCTGCTATCCGATATCAATATTCTACGCATGGAGAGTCAGGAGTGGCCTTTTTAGTGTGGACTTCACGGAGTAGACACGCCCTGAAAGACATTGAGAAAGAGAGAACGAACGTGGAAAAAATAAGGATAAAAAACAAAGTATTGCAGAAAGAAGGAAAAAAAGAAAGAATTTGAAACATATAAAATTGGTGGGTGAGGTGAAAGAAAGAAGCTAAAACAGGCAGAAACATGTACGAAGAAAGAAAAGGGGGAAAAGATAGAAAGAAGGAGAAGAAAAAATACCAGACAGGAAAGGATAGGAGGTGTTATGTGTTTTTGACATTGTGGGGTAATTCAAAAGACGATACCTCCAATTTTAGAGGCCATCAGCGACACGGGCGACTTCAGCTGTTGAGAAGACATGAAAAATGATCTGTTGTGGATTGGAACTAGGATCAACGCCACAATGGCAAGCAGGACACCAATCCTGCCAATGGAGCCTCCGCAAACAGGGCAGAAAGAATGATAAAATAATAGAACAAGATATTTAAAACTTGAGAGAGAGACAGAGACAGACAGACAGACAGACAGAGAGACAGAGAGGGGAGAGAGAGAGGGGGGTAGGGTAGGGGGGATAACTGAACAATGATTGTCTCCTGTTCCTTCAAATCAATGAGTATGTCTGTTCGCACTTTAAATAATAGTGATGATGATGATGATGATGATGATGATGATGATGATAATAATAATTAACAGTGATTCCAAACAAATGACGCGGAATGCTTAGCGACGTCGTTGTTTTGCTTCACGACAAAGCAACTCCTCCCAAGTCTGCACAGACCCAAAACCTGATCGCCTCCTTCGGATGGGAACAGTTGAAGTATCCATCGCACATCCTAGACCTGGCTCCGAGTGACTTTCATGTGTTCCTGCATTTGAACAAGTTTTTGGTAAGGCAGGACTTCCACTCAGACGCTGATCTCACAGGAGAGACTGGAGATTGGCTGACATCGCAGGCACCAGCTTTTTACGATGAGGGCATTCAGAAGCTCGTCCCACGATACGACAAATGCCTCAACAGTTCTGGTAACTACGTGGAGAAGTAGTCATATCTATGAGGTATTAAAAAGTAAATGGTTTTGATTGGAAAATTATTTCTTTTATAATTTTTTAAAACGGTAGATCTACTTACTTTCAGGACGTCCCTCGTAATAATAATAATAATAATAATAATAATAATAATAATAATAATAATAATAATAATAATAATAATAATAATAATAATAATAATAATAATAATAATAATAATAATAATAATGATGATGATGATAATAATAATAATAATAATAATAATAATAATAATAATAATGATAATCATCATCATAATGATAATCATCATCATAATGATATATGCCATCTACCTACAGCTCAACCCCAATTAAAGTACACAAGTTCTGAGCACTTTACAATACAAAGTGAAGAAGCTGTAGTAGAAGTTCTCGAAAGACTAACAAAAGTCATCCTTGGGCCAATAAGATGCTTTACAGTAAAATCTATTTGGAAAGCTTTTCTTTTTATCGTAAAGAATTTTTTTTCCATCGTCGGGTTTGCGTGATAAAAATAATATACACAATAAAAGATAAATTCCCGCTCAGCAGCAAGCTCTGTGCACTTTGCAATCAATGCAATTACCCCAGCAAACCTGATAGGGAAGCAAACAGTGTAGGCTGCCATTTTATAGGCGCGAGAACACTAACATACTGGCAAAATCATTCGTTATCCATGGTTGAGTACACATTCCCACCTGGATAAAGTGAGAAAAACTAGTGCAAAGTGCCTTTTCCAAGGTCACAACATCGGACCTGAGACTCGAACCCCCGAACCTGCAACCTCACGATTACGAGTCCGCTAGCCTAATCACTAGACCACCAACGCCACACAATGACTTCAGACTGGGTCTAAAAGAACATGTTAATAACAAAAATATTCCCTCTGTGAAGGCAGACCCTTTTAACTTGGACAAAAGGTGGACATTATCAAGTCAGCCAAACCATGTGTTTAACGATAGGCATGAGCTGAGTCAGAAGGTACCGACCATTATGTTCCAAAGGTACAATGTGTCATAGGTAAAGACCACCAGGTTTCATCAAAGATAGCACATAACAAGATGGTCCACTCAGCCAAAAAAGTGTCCGCCGGAAGTCCGCTCTTTGCTTCAGATGGCGCTGCAGTTTGTTTTGAAGCTCTCTTTCGTTTCTCCAGAAGAAGAATAGGAATAGCACCTCCTTGCGTTCGCAGATCGACTGCTGTTCATCAGCAGTTCGGGTTCGTTCAGTGCGGAGTTTTAGGGGATTTTTTTATTTAATGACCTCTCGCCTTTCATTCTAAAGTCAAATTGAACGAAGAAAACAGTCACCTCTTCCTCCGGAAGAGGTTTTTTGTCAGCGTAACCATTTAAAAAAAGCGTTCTTCCAAAATTTGAATTCTTGTTTATTCAAAAACTTGTTAGTTTCACTTTGATTTTTTTAACACAAGTAGGGTAACTCTGTTCGCAAAGGGTGCGCATTTGCGAAGAGGGCGCCACCGAATTCTGAGGACACTTTCTTAATTGGCTCAAAGAGAGGAGTGGACCCACTTGTTATTTAAACTCTTTGGTTTCATTCGTCACATGCTGATAACGATACGTTTTGTTCTAGAGTTCATGAGCACGATCAAGAGAACAGAATTGTACCAAAACGCATTATAAGATAATTATGATAAATTTAAAAAGCAGAATGAAAATGAAGGAAAGTTTGATTTTTATTTCGAAAAATGAATCGAAGCACTTATAGTGACTATATATTACAGATCAGTTAAGATAAAGGACCCCGCTGGTAATACGAAGCGAAACGAGAATTAAGTTAGATTTTTGGAAATGACCCTTCATGTCACAAAACCTTTCATGTTTCTTTAACTATCTAGGTACGCGGCAGCCACATTTTAATGTCTGATCAGCAGACCAAAAAGCAGTGTTGTGTGGCACATTTCAAGTCATCAGAACAAATAATTAAAAACAAGAATTTACTTAATTTCGCAGTGTTTTGTCTGTCTTTCGAAATTTCATGTAAAAAAAAATCATTTAAAAAAACAACTGAAAAATATAATACACAAATAACGAGGTCTTCGCTCTTCTTAACAACGAGTCTCCAAGCATTAATTGGGCTCAGTGAACTATCGAATTCTATCTGCTCTGGCTTCAACTGCTTTGTTCTCTGCTGTTAAGTGCGAATGGACTCCTGTTATAATGAGAATTGTCAGGCGGCAGTCTCTGGGACAGACATTGAATGAAGGACAATGGAGTGCGAATGTTCTCACTTCTGGTGTTGTCAAGTTTTAATTAAAAACGTACCATCATCGCATGTTTTCTTAGGACGACTGCTCTGCTACTGATGAATTCATTTGGGCGGATATTATTGTACTAACCAAAATGGCGTTGACCTGATTTCCAGACACGCCATGTCGATGACTTGATCTTGGAATAATTGGTGTGCTGTCGTTGTTGTTGTAATCCTTGCTTTTGTTGTTGTCGCTGTTGTTGTTGTTGTTGTTGTTGTTGTTGTTGTTGCTGTTGTTGTTTCTGTTGTTGTTGTTGTTGTTGCTGCTGCTGCTGCAACTGTTGTTGTTGCTGTCGTTGTTTCTGTTGTCGTTGTGATAATGGTGGTGGTGGTGGTGGTAATGGTAAGATTTTTTTAAAATTGTTGTTATTGTTATTATTACATGTATTATTATTATTATTATTATTATTATTATTATTATTATTATTATTATTATTATTATTATATCATTATTATTATTATTATTACTTTTATTATTATTATTATTATTATTATTATTATTATTATTATTATTATTTATTTATTTATTTATATCCAATGTTATTCTTTTATCATTATTAATGATGAATATTATCAATATTAACCTTTTATCGTCTGTATAGTTATTATTATATATAAATATTATTGTTATATCATAGCTATTATTCTTGTTGTTGTTGTTAGTTAGTTAGTTAGTTAGTAGTAGTAGTAGTAGTAGTAGTAGTAGTAGTAGTAGTAGTAGTAGTAGTAGTAGTAGTAGTAGTAGTAGTAGTAGTAGTAGTAGTAGTAGTAGTAGTAGTAGTAGTAGTAGTAATGATTACGACGATTATTATTGTCCTTTTCATTATATTTATTATTACATTTATCATCATCATCATCATCATCATCATCATCATCATCATCATCATCATCATCATCATCATCATCATCATCATCATCATCGTCATCACCATCATCATCATCGTTATTGTACACTATCATTATTATCATATTGTTTAAATTATTGTTGTTATTCCTTGCCTTTATTGGTTTCGTAGGTTAGTGTTGCAATTGTCTTAAAATTTAAGCATAGGCTTAGTATTTTTAAAGGCTCAACCTGTCTCATCGGAGGCGAAAAACAAGTAGCAAGCTTGGTCTCTCCAAAAAGCTGTAAACTGTGGTGAATAGTACAAAGTAGAACTCAACAAACACCAGCTGCCAGTAACATTTCAAATGGAAACAGAAAAAAGCTTGATATACACGCTTGCAAATGCATAACGTACTTACTTTTTTACTCGAAAGGTTCGAGGTTCTCTTTGTTGATATAAAGTCAGGGTGTTGTCATCTTGCTAACTTTGGTGGGGGTTTTTTTTACCTGTTTGAAGCGGTTCAATTGAGGAACAAGGGATGTGTGTAGGGGGGGTGGGGATGGCGGAGTTGGTGAGGATACAATTTCCCCACTTATTTTTTTAACCTATGCTATTATCATTGGTCGTCGACATCGTCGAAGTCGAAATAATGGTGAGACCGTTACTATTGTTAATGCTTGTTATTCCTAGGCGAGAAATAATTAAACGTGTCACAAATCCATGTCCACGTAAATAGTAACATTGATTTTCCAATGACGTAGCTTAACCCGACAGGCTACATGAGAAGCAGACAGAAAGATGGAAAGTGTGAAGAAAGGACCAAGCTTATTTTCACAACAGAAGAAAAAAAATATTCCTTCAGTTCAACACTTTTGTTTAAATTATGGCTGTTACTTATTATTATTATTATTATTATTATTATTATTATTATTATTATTATTATTATTATTATTATTATTATTATTATCATTATCATTATCATTATCATTATCATTATTATTATTATTATTATTATTATTATTATTATTATTATTCTCAACATTTTCTCGGTAATATTCAGTTTTGCTTTGTTTCGCTTTGTTTTGCTTTCAAATTGTTGTTTGATATTAGACTAAAGCTTGGGACACAGGAACAATATTCCCGTTGGAAATTAGTTATGGACATCTGAGACCTAACGAACAGAGGTCAGCGTGTAGAAAAAAACGTGAAAGGGCATTTGGTCCACAGCCAGACTAGCCCAGCCTTTCATTATAGAATGATGAACTGTCACAAAGAGAGGGCGTCAGCTCCCATTGTCTTACAACTGTGCCAGATACCCTCTTACAATGACCGCTAGAGAGCTCTTATGAAGTTATTCCACTTTTTCCCCTCTCCAAACTCCTAATTTTTATGAAGCCCCTGTTTTAATCACAGACCGAACTCGAGCCTGGGTTTTCATCTCTGGTTATGAAGTTTCGGGTGAACGAAATAAAATAACGAGCTCTGAACTGGACACAGTCGCCACGGGCAATTTTGGAACAATTTTTTTTTGTCTGTGTATGATTTTCATGAAGACGGAACAAGATTTTAATGAAAGGGAGAAACGGGGTCATCTTTGCATGTAGCCGCACGTCTCCATTGTTGGCTAGTCTGGCTACCGGCCACAGCAGATGTCAGTAAGGGGGGATAATCCCAGGTCTGGGGGACATCGCTCGACCAGGGTACTCGGCGTGTGCCGCGGGAGGGAAGACAATAGGCCAAACACTGACCTCTTTAACCAGGGTTCCAGGGTGAATCATATTCATAATCGTGTTATACGCGTTCTTCTTTTTCAAAAATTTGCTTTTTTTCCCCCTTTCTTTTTCTTTTTTTTTGTGTGTGTGTGGGGGGGGGTGGGGGTTGGCCCAATAGTAGAGGGTGGTAATA